TCATCTCTAACAAGTATCCAGTTAATATCTTGAGCCGTTTTCGAGAACATTCGAAGACAAAATTGCATAAAATCAGAAAATTGCCCATTACTTGGCACTGGTGCCGAATTTTTCAACAAACGAAATTTTATATAAAATTCATATAATGAACTATAGATCCTGAAAATTTCATTGAAATACGCCAAATAGTTTTCAAGAAATCGCCTGCACAAAATTTGGTCAGAAGAAAAAAAGAATAATAATAAGAAGAAACAATAGAATCAATAGAAGGTCTTCCGTGAAGACGGAAGACCTTAATAATAATAAGAAACAGAGTAAAAACAATATGTTCCCCAACTTCGTTTGGGGAACATAATTACACCGATTGATCAGGTCAATAAAAAAGCTGCAAAATTGAAAAAATAAAAAATATGAAATAAAAGCCGCCCACCCGCCTCGATTTTTAAAAAAATTCGGATGAGAATCTAGCAATTTATTTATTATGGCCTTAGAGGGATTCATTTGTAATTACTAACAAATTATAGTACTATCCGGGTAACGATATGGTGTTTTCACAGTGATTAACACTATACACAAACTGACAAAGAACCACAAACGATAGTATTGTTCTCCCGCCTACCTCTAAGTCAATTCTCAATAGTTGACATATTAGAATGATTTTCAAAATTTTTATAGATAATTATATGAATTTTCATAAAACGTTACTTATTTGGGATACCAAAGAGAGGTAACTCTATAATTTTGGTAAAACTTGTATTTTTCACTATAGAAATCAACGGAAAACGGAAAATATTTTTAAAACATCTTCCCCCCCCCCGTGAAACAAAAATTCCTTTTTACAGGTAATATGGACTGTCATTTTACAAATTTATGCCAAAGCTTTTTGTGTTTCACGGGGGGGAACATATGTTTATGGACAAAAAACCAAAAAAAATGCTGATTTTTCACCAATTTTAAAGCTATTTACAACTAAATAATTGTATTTTATTAATTAACATATGTTTTATTTATTTGCGTAAAACATAAGAAAAGATATGAGATACATTTTATCATATTTAAAACTATTTCAAACTATGGTGATCCTTGAAAGTTAGATTTCACTAGAAAATATCGTCTACCCCCCTTTTTTCAAGAGCTGGAATTAATGATAATTTACCATCTAGCGCTGGAATTAAAATGATTAATCAATTACCATAGAACTGTTCTTTGTATTAAACAAAGATTTAATGACCAAATTGCCATTAAAATTGAATTTAATGAGTGCAAAATGTAGGCGGGAATCAAGAGTTAGAGTTCGTAGTTCTTTACCCCTCTGTCGCGATCTGGAGAACTATAATTACTTCCAAATTAGCTGAAATAATTTTTTTTTAATGCTAAATTAGCAACCCTATGCACAGAAAAAAATTTTCAAATGAATTTTAAGAAAATTGTGTACAATTTTACATTATATTTTATTTTTTCCGACTAACCGATTACAGATTTGCTAACCGATTGCCATCGTTCCGACCGATTAATCGGTTAACCAGTTACAAAGTTCCATCACTAATATATATATATATATATATATATATATATATATATATATATATATATATATATATATATATATATATATATATATGCGTCTGTCCATCTGTCTGTCCCCATGTGTGTCTGTCAGTCTGTCCTACTTGGTTTTTTTTATGCTTTGTGGCTCTTGTTCTTTCTAGAATATAGAAAAAAATTGTAAACCTTCTGTGATATTCAAAAGTCTACCCTTCTGAACCATCCTTATTAATCTATACAAATTTTTTCACTTCAAATCCAATTTTTGTGAAATTTTGAATAAAAAATTAACAAGAGGCCCATATATATATATAGGAAAAAGTAGAAAATTGCTTTTTATATAAAGTTTAAATCCAAATATATATATATATTTTTAAAGAATTTTCCTATATATATATATGAACAAATTTGAATCTACACTACTTGAGCATGCTTCCATATGAATATGGTGAATCATGGCTTTGTCATTCTTGAGAAGAAAATGTTTAAAGAATTTTCCTATACATTTCTATGTAAAACTTATATACTCCGGGGGGCATGACTTTGAACAAACTTGAATCTACACTAACTGAGCATGCTTCCATATATATATATGATGAATTATGGCTTTGTCATTCTTGAGAAGAAGATTTTTAAAGAATTTTCCTCTATATTTCTATGTAAAACTTTGGTCGGCCATTTTGGCCCCGCCCTACCCCAGGGGGTCATGATTTGATCAAACTTGAATCTACACTACCTGAGGATGCTTCCATATAAATATGATCAATTATGGCTTTGTCATTCTTGAGAAGATTTTTAAAGAATTTTCCTCTATATTTCTATGTAAAACTTTGGTCGGCCATTTTGGCCCCGCCCTACCCCCGGGGGTCATGATTTGAACAAACTTGAATCTACACTACCTGAGCATGCTTCCATATAAATATGATGAATTATGGCTTTGTCATTCTTGAGAAGATTTTTAAAGAATTTTCCTCTATATTTCTATGTAAAACTTTGGTCGGCCATTTTGGCCCCGCCCTACCCCCGGGGGTCATGATTTGAACAAACTTGAATCTACACTACCTGAGCATGCTTCCATATAAATATGATGAATTATGGCTTTGTCATTCTTGAGAAGAAGATTTTTAAAGAATTTTCCTCTATATCTCTATGTAAAACTTTGGTCGGCCATTTTGGCCCTGCCCTACCCCCGGGGGTCATGATTTGAACAAATTAGAATCTACACTACCTGAGGATGTTTCTCCATAAGTTTCATCTTTCCTGGCACAGTGGTTCTTGAGAAGAAGATTTTTAAAATATGCCACCAAATTTTCATTAATTCCAAATTATCTCCCCTTGAATCAGGGCGTGGCCCTTCATTTGAACAAACTTGAATCCCCTTTACCTAAGGATACTTTGTGGCAAGTTTGGTTGAAATTGGCTTAGTGGTTCTTGAGAAGAAGATGAAAATGTGAAAAGTTTACGACGACAACAACGACGACGGCGACAACAACGACGACAGACAACGGACAAATTTTGATCAGAAAAGCCAATTTTTTGAGCCTTTTGCTAAAAAATTAAAAACTATGCAGTTAAACTTATTCATTTTACTCATTTTAACATGACCCAAGTTGTTATTTTCAAATTTTTTGACATACGTACCGTATTTGGCCAAGTATAATACGCATTGATGTAAAATACGCACCCCCCCTTTTGAGTCTGAAACTGGGGGAAAAAACGCAGTTCGGATGTATTATACACAACAGAAAATTTTACCTAGCGATGTTCTGAACTTTGAAAATCGCGGTAATTTGTTACGAAAATCGGCGCAAAGATTAAGTGTCAAAAATTTACAGAATAGACAATAGTTTTCTCTTAATACTGAATTTCCATATCGCAGCAATCTGGAGAAAATTATTTATTCCTTTATTTCAACAAAGCACAAGGTAATGTTGTGTAAAAGTATTAACAGAGTTTTATTTATTTTTTTTAAGCATATGGTGATTTTGAAATAATACGTATTCTTATGGGGAAATAATTGTATTTCAACAATTTAAAGCATGAGATATTGTTGCAAGTTTTAACAGCTGTCATATTTAATTTTGGTTCTAGATAATCATGCTGAAAATTACGTTACAAGACTTTAACAGGACACGAGATTGAAACATCTAAGTATTAAGACTACGGTTTTCCTCTTCTGAATCTCCGTGGATATCTTATTTTCTACAGAGCACGAATAAAATTAAAATGATAACACTTAGTTTTAGCACACTTCATATTTCATTTGTCAACTCTCAATCATTCAAACAAGAGGCCAATAAGTATAAGATTAGGTAAAATTAATTTAAGAAGTGTTTAATTGTTTAATGTGTCGTAATCAACACACTCTCACACATACGAAAGGTCATAATCTGACCCCCGATTTTTAACAAAGAAAATAAAGGACAGTAAATAATCAGTGTTCTAACTGTAAAAACATTGCTTTGGAGTCGGTAGACAATCAATTGCCTGGAGGGGTGTTGAGAGATAATTATCAAGTGACCAGCGCAAGTGTTCACAAACATTGGCTTCCTTTCAGCGGGACGTATAGATCGAGTGTTGTTTACGTTGCAGTGAATTTTCACTGAGTTATTTAAAACCTAAAATAAATCTTTATTTTATTGTATTTCATTAAAAAAATTACTTGTTACTTTGTCTGGCAGATAAGGTACATGTGTACTATGATTACGGAAGCACGTGGCAAAGGAATGTGTGAACATCTAAAAATAACATCGGTAATGGCGGCCTACATGGAGACGAAAAACATGAAAATCAAATAAGTTTTAACTTGCTTTTTCATGTCATTTTAGTATCAAAAGAATATGAAAGTGGCATTTTTAACAAGCATGCTTTCCAACAATAACTTTCCGAAGTTTAAAATATGGCGATAAACAAAAGAAATTGCATATGTCTCTAGGTAATACTACGGTATGTACGTATGATAGCCATGTTTCACCTGAAAGAAAAACATATCAAAATCCATTGTGATGTAAAAGACGCACCCCTTTCTCACAGAAATTTATTTTAGAAAAAAGTGTGTATTATATTCCGCCAAAAACAGTAATGCACTATGTCTTCTGATATTTGTCACGCTGTGATATCCTTTCACTATGTGACAAAATATTATATCCATTAATAAATTACAGTAATGCAGTGTAGAAAATATAACAAATATCTTGGGAACAACAGCTGACACTGTTTTTGGACTATTCATAAAAAAATTATAGAAACTTTCATTTCTTATCCCCAAAACTTAAGGGTATTTAAGTTGAATATGTACTGATTATGTTTTAAGTTATCAATTTGTGTTTTGAAGTATAGATATAATGGTTGTCAGTTGTTGATCCCAAGAGTCAACATTTAGATTGTTTGTAGTAATAAAATATTAACTGATTTACAGAATTCTTTTTCTTTGGTATAAAATAAATAATATTAACCTAAATCTGTGTCTCCACTTTCAATGGCTTTTGATAGAGCAATGCTGTCCCTCTGCATTTTCATCAACAGTGGCACTTGTTGGGCTGCTCTAGGCTCAAAGTCCAACAGCTATAACATGGAGAAAATAAAAATTATTTTAAATTACTGTAGAAGTACTTTTTTCCGTGTGGTATCAATTTACGCTATGTATGCGGTCAAAAATTTTCCACGGAAATTTGTCCAAGCATACTTGATATAAATCTAAGGCATATAGTGACAGTCTAGGAAATCCGTGTAATTTTCTAGACGCGGATTAAACAGAAATTGAGATTCCGCGGAATTATGATCCCGTGAAAAAAAAGTAATGTCTACAGTAACAAGAAGTCTCTGTCGAGACTACTGGTCTGTATTTATAGCAACAGAAGAGAAAAGTACTTAAGCAGTTGGGAATTGAAACTTTACAACAGCAATAAATAGAATAATGATCCTTGATAAAGTCTCTTTATGTTCTTAGTGTAGTCTACTTGCATGCCACTTTATATTATAATCAGACTAAAACTGTATTTGGAGTAGCATTTTGAAAGAATTTCACAGAAATTTCTATTTTTAGTAATCACTGCAACACCATTCATCGAAATCAAAAACCAATATACAGAATTATGTATCTTAGTGAAGTCTACTTGTTTGCCAAGCTATATTGAAATAAGAATAAAACTGTAGGAGTAGCTTTTTGAAAGAATTTTAAAGAAACTTCTATTTTTAGTAACCACTGCAACACCGTTCATTGAAATCAAAAACCGATATACAGAATTATGCATCTTACAGTAGTCTACTTGTGTGCGAATTATATTGAAATCAGACCAAAACTGTAGGAGGAGTAGCATTTTAAAAGAATTTCACAGAAATTTCTATTTACAGTAACCACAGCAACACTGTTCATCGAAATCAAAAACCAATACACAGAATTATGCATCTTAGTGTAGTCTACTTGTGTGCCAAGTTATACTGAAATCAGACCAAAACTGTAGGAGGAGTAGCATTTTGGAAGAATTTCACAGAAATTTCTATTTTTAGTAACCACGGCAACACCGTTCATTGAAATCAAAAACAGATTTACAGAATTATGTATCTTAGTGTAGTCTACTTGTGTGCCAAGGTATATTGAAGTCAGACCAAACCTGTAGGAGAAGTAGCATTTTGAAAAATTGTTTACAGACAGACGGACAGACTGACGGACGCCGCATGCATTACTATTGCATAAGCTCTTCTGGTCTCTGACCAGTAGAGCTAAAAACAAGATCCCAAAGGGACACAAAGCTTATCTGAGTCACTTTGGTCTCTTACTGTTCTAGATCAGCTTCATTCATTTATACACTAACAAGCTAATTCAGAGAATTTGTGTCCCCTGCTTAGGGAAAAAGTAAACCATGTGCAGTTAGGGGGAGGGGGGGGGGATTGAGTCGGATCCTCCTGACTGAATTATTATGCCATTATTGTAGAAGTATTAAATGTATACATGTATAAGGAAGCAAATAAAATATTCCAATATGGATATTAATATTTGATTGCTTATTCTTTATTATGTGTATAGAAGATCCTTTTTATATGGAATATTTAACACACTGTAATGATGATTTTATGAATTTGTGCAAGCCAGACCTCATAAATTTTTCATTTCACATGCTATCATTTATCAAAAATAAGTTTTTCAAAAAAAAAAAAAAGGAAAATGGTTTGTTCCGGATTCGAAGCCGGTGTCGTATAGTGAGACTTCCCCCATAGTGAGGCTTCCCCCGGAAGGCTCACTATATAGTAAGTCTCCCCCCCCCCGGAAGGCTGGCTATATAGTGAGCCTTCCCCCGGGAAGAATGGCTATATAGTGAGACTTCCCCCACGGAAGTTTCACTATATAGCCGTTCTTCCGGGGGGAAGGCTCACTTTATAGCCAGTCTTCCCCCATTCATAGCGAGACTTCCCCCTCTTATTATAGTTTCCGGTGTAAAGACGAATAATGACCGGGGGCTCATTTTTCAACGACAAAAAATGACCCCCTACCCATAGCAAAAAATCATTGTTTGTAGAAAAAGAGTCCTAGGGGTCATTATTTTATATGTTAGTCCTATAAAATATTGACCCCCATTGAAAAATAACCCCCTTTAAAGTGATACAAAATTTATAACAGGTGAAAGGGAAAAATATGCTGTGTATTATAATTGTTCTTCCTTCGAGTAATTCATGCATTTGTTCGAATAGATCTGATCTTTGTTCTTCTTAGAACGTAGGAGTAATAAAGTTCCTCATTTCTCTCTGTCGAAATATTGACAAATCAGTTTTAAGCCATTAACAATCAATCAATTAATCTTCATTTCTTTGATAAAGGAGCAAACCTAGAAAATCAAAGATGGTACAATAACATGTAAATGGATCAAACGCACGCTGGAGATGAAATTTATGAATAATTTTTTTTTCTTTACTGACTCCATTGATACGTTGTTTCAGAAAAAAAAATTGTTGTGAAAAAGTAAAAATTTGTAGCAGACGAATTAATATCGGTGCGTACAAATAAGTAATTTGTTTGAATTAATAAGGTTTCATTTGGACGAGTGAATAAAAATAGAAATGGATGACAGGACGCCTCGATGCTGTATATTTTTTATGTGTTCCATCCTATACATGCAGAATATCACAATATGATTAAAAATATTAAATCTTTGCAAATACATATTCTTTTTATCCCCCCCCCCCTCGGTAGAACAACCAGACTTGCAATGAAAATTTTCAAGTGAAAAATTAAAAATTAAGAGATTCACGTAGTCTTTCAATGCTAAAATTGTGTTTGAAAAGAGATTCTTTCATTGTCAAGTAAATAAAATTTCTTTTCAATATTCCTCCTTTTGCTTAAAGAATGATATTCCACTTGTTTTTAGAAATCAAACCATGCAACAATCAGGTTTAAATACTCTTTAATAGGAAAAATTAATTTTTCCTTCATTTCAACGTTTAGCTTGTATAAGTTTGGCAAATCCCATTTGACAATGAAAGAGGAGGAAAATTTTATCCCCCCCCCCCCCAAAAAAAACCATTATGTTAAATAAAAAAAAATGAAAAGCAAAAATATAAATAAAACTCTACACCTTTCAATAATACTGAAGGAGGCTCTAGATAAAATATTGAAATGAAGTTAAGCCTTCATACAAGTACTATCATATCATAATTTACTTCGCCATGATTAAAGCATACTTTAAATGTTGGTGGGGGTATACTTGAAAGTATTGTGGCAAAGTAACAGTTGAAAATTAGTAGAATAGTAGATTATTTTAAGCTTATTTTTAGTCCCTCCTTATAGAAAAATAAAGGTAGGGTAGTTTTTTATGCCCCCGTAAACGAAGTATCGGGGGTATATAGTTTTTGTCATGTCCGTCTGTCTGTCTGTCTGTCTCTCTGTTTATCTGTTTGTCCGCAAAAACTTTAACCTTGCCCATAACTTTGATTTAGTGGAGCTATGACTTTCATATTTCACTTGTGTATTCCTTGTGACAACACCTTTCTTTGGGTACCACCAAATTTGACCTTTTGACCTTGACCTTGGAGTTTGACCCACTTTTACATGAAAATTTTTAACTTTTACTTTGGCCATACCTTTTGAACAGTAGATACCAGGACAATTATACTTCACAAATGTAATTTCTGTGGCAAGACCTTTCATTGGATACCAACAACCTTGACCCTTTGACCTTGACCTTGTATATTTCCGTACTTGTCAAAAAAAACTTTACATGTAACCTTGGCCATTACTTTTGAACGGTTTTAGGGCGTTCATACTTCATATATGTAATTCTTGTGAAAAGACCCTTCATTGGATACAAAGAACTTTGACCCTTTGACCTTGACCTCTTAGATTGACCCACTTTAAAAAGCAATCCTTGACCATAACTTTAAAGGGTTAGGGCTAGTGCTTTCATACTTTATATATGTAATCCTTGTGGCAAGACCTTTCATTTGATAACAAGAACTTTGTCCCTTTGACCTTGACGTTGATGTTTGACTTACTTTTTAGAAAATTGAACCATGGTCATAACTTCTAAACTTTAATGACAGGGCTTTCCTGTTCTACATGAGTATTCTATATGGCAAGATCTTTCATTTGATAACAATTACATTGACCTTTTGACCTTGGAGATTTTTGTACTTATTGAACTTTAACATTTGCTTACTTTCAAATTTCACAATTGTTTTCCAGTGAGAATACCCTACTTTTGGTACCAATTAATTAAATTTCCATTTAAGAAAAGTTTAATCTTTGCTAATTTGCCATACGGGGACATCAGTGTTTCATAAACACATCTTGTTTCTTGTTGCTTTTGTTAATAATTGACTTCCTCCTAAATAAGTAAAGGGGTTGGGTGGGTATAACACCTAAAAATATACTCTGTAAAGCTATGGGCTAGTGTAAAATACACATTCCAATGCAAAATTATACATATAGATATAACCTTTTGATATAGCACACAGTATTCATTACATTTCTTCATTCTTGTTTTACTCCACCCTTTTACTCAGTTCTGAGTATATTTTTCAGAGAATTTAATATGAAAATCAGAACAAACATTTTCATTTTTGTAACGTCTTCTTTTATACTGTATCGTAATATGAAAAGTTAATTAAAGATCATTTTTTTTTATGTCCCCATAATTGAAGATTCAGGGGGTATATTATTTTTTCGTGTTCGTCTGTATGTCTGTCTGTCTATCTATCTGGCAGTCTGTTTGTCCGCAAAAATTTTAACCTTGACCATAACTTTTCATTTATTGGAGCTATGACTTTCATATTTTATATGTGTATTCCTTGTGATAAGACCTACTTTGGGTACCACCAAATTTGACCTTTTGACCTTTACCTTGGAGTTTGTCCCATTTTACACAAAAATGCCAATTTTTTACTTTGGCCATAACTTTTAAACGGTAGATACTAGTACTCTCATACTTCAAATATGTAATTTTTTTTTGGCATGACCTTTCATTGGATACTAAAAATTTTTACATTTTGACCTTGACCTTGGAGATTTCCATACTTATGAAAAAAACTTTTTTAACCTTTGCCATAACTTTTGAACGGTAAGGGCTAGGGTT